AACAACAACAACATCGAACCTTTCTTTTTAGTACATTGATTCTTCGTATTTCTGTCATCTTCTCTTACTGCCTCCTAGATCATTCACGATTTTGCCCATGGCTTCTTTCAGCATTACAACTCAAGGCTTGAATTTGTGTTTTTCAGTTCTTTCACCTTAATAAGTACTGAGCAAGTTCTTCCCTTTTTATTCTTGGACATTGGCACAGGACAGAGCAGAGTTTAGAGCTGTTGTACATAGTGTTGCTATGAGTCACAAGCAACTCGACAGCACATAACAACAACAACAAGTAGCTCTTTGCACATTTCATTCTAATACTTTGCTTTGTCTTCTTTGAAATCTTCTATTCAGCTCTTTTACTTCAGTATCTCTTCACAATGCTCTAGTGAAATTTTCATAGTTTCTTCTGACATCCATTTTGGCTTTTTCTTTCTCTTTGTCTTTCTAATGACCTTTTGCTCTCTCCATGGATAATATCTGTGATTTTGTCCCACAACTCCTTTGGTCTTCAATCACTGGTGATAAAGGCCTCAAACTTGTTCTGTTTTTATTTTTTTTATAGTACTCCAATTTATTTACAAAGTTTGAATACATTGTTTTTCACAAAAGATTCTTCCCATTTCCTTCACCTCACTCATCCATAGAATTGTGCAACCCTATAATTAACACCCTACCCCCAAACCTCACCCCTTTATTTCTATCCCCACCCCACCCCCAGCCTTGGATCCTCATACTAATTCTACAATAATGGTTTTATACAGTATTTGTCTTTGTAGGACTGAGTTAGGTCACTCAGCATAATGCTCCCCAGTCCGTACCATGTTAGGTAGTAATTTACAGAATGATTGTTCCTACATGCTGCATAGTATTCCATTGTATGAAGATACCACAACTTCTCAATCCATTCATTTGTCTTTGCACATCTGGCCTGTTTCCATGTTCTTGTGAAGGTGAATAATGCTGCTATGAGCATTGGTGTACGAGTTTCCGTTTTAGCCTCAGTTTTCATTTTCTTGGGCTATATTCCAAGCAATGGAATAGCTGGCTCATATGGAATTAATTTCTATGTTCAGCTGTTTAACCAAACCTGTTCTTAAGATCATTTTTTAAAATATTTTAAAATTTTTTTGTTATTATTTTCAATGAAAGTTTACAGAGACTTTGGAATTCCATTCATTCATTGTTGCACTTTTCTCCCTGCCCACCCCTCCCCCTCAGTTCATGCTTTTCTTTGAAAAGTGAAGAAAAGTTCTTACTCGATCATAAAATCCCCCTGGTTGAAGGAGGAGTGGCATCCACTTCCATAATAGCTTGCCTCTAGAAATGCTATGAACCTGGAGAAAGGACGAAAGTTATACAGTAGGTGTCCAGGACTTTTGTTTATAGGGTCCCTATGAGTTGCCTGTGACTCGTTGGCACTTAACAACAACAACAACTGGTAGAATAGACTGAAGGTCATATTTTCTTCTTGTGGATTTTTCTTCTTCAGTTTCAGTTTTAACTTCTATATGAGTAATTGATGATCTGTTCCACAGTCAGCACCTGGCCTGATTCTAACTCCTGATACTGAGCTTCTCCAATGGTTCTTTTTACAGATATAGTCAGTCTGATTCTTGTGCAGTTCATCAGGTGAAGTCTATGTGTAAAATCATCTTTTGTGTTTCCTAAGAAAGGTGTTTACAATGAATAAATCATTGAATGTACAAAATTTATCATTCATTCTTAAGCCTCCTTTCTGTCACTACATTTACCATACTTTCTGAATATTCTTTGTTTCTAACTTTTGCATTTCAGTCACCAATAATTAATACATCTTTATTTAGTATATGATCAATTTCTGATTGCAAAATTTGGTGGTGGTGGTGGTGGTTGTTATGTGCCATCTAGTCACTTGTGACTCACAGTGACCCTGTGTACGGCTCTGAACCCTACTCTATCTTGAGCCAACTTCATTGTCTCTGACACATCTACCCCCATTTCTCCAGTCCCTGATCTAACTGATCCAGAGCTTTCCTTCCCCCCTCCCCAGTTATAAAAATGTGATATTATTATGTATATGAGAAATTGGGTCAGAGTCTTTCTTTCTTCTACTGCCCCTCTACCCTTCCAAGCATGATGTCCCTCTCCAAGGACTGGTCCTACCTTGTAACATGCCCAAGTATGTCAGACAGAGCTTCAAAATCCTTACCTCCAAGGAGCAGGCTGGTTTCACCCCTTCCAGGATGAACCTGTCTGTTCTCCTAGAAGTCCATGGTATATTCAATACTCTTCTCCAGCACCACAGCTCAAAGGCATCAATTCCTCTTCTGTCATCCCTAGTCATTGTCCAGCTTTCTGATGCATAGCAAGTAATTGTGAAGACCAGGGCCTGGATCAGACACACCTTAGTCTCTAGACTGACATCTTTGCAATTCAGCACTCTGGAGAGGTCCTTCAGAGCCCTCCTCCCATTTTCCAGCTAACCTGATGTGATGTCTCAGGTCTCGCTTCTCTGTCCAATGATGTTGGCATGCTAGGCAGGTCTTTTAGTCAGCTGGACAGATCTTCAGGGTGAGGACAAATTAAGTAGAAAATATATTAGTCTAAAAACTATTCACATGATAGAATAAATGCTATGCAGCACTCAGGAGCAACGATTTTGAAAATTACTACATAATTTGGGAAGGACTGGAGGGCATTATGCTGAGTGAACTCAGTCTCATAAAGACAAATACTACCTAAGCCTATTGTTTTAGAAATAGAAAAATACCTAGTAAAACATGAATGAGGATCTAAGATGGGGAGGATGGGAGCAGAGGGTGGGAGGATGGGCAGGGGGGAAATTATAGGGTCACCCAATTTGGTGGGTAAAGAAAATGGGAAAGATTTGGTGGGAATCTGGAAAGACAGAGTTTAGTTCAGTGATTAATTTTATAAAACATAATAAATGGGAATGTTTGTATAAAACACCATGTGAATAAAAGATAGTGTGAAGCATAGTATATATGAACTTTGTAAGCAAACCAATATATTTTTTTAAAAAAATCTGTTAACTTTTTAATAAACATTTATTAAAATCTATGAGACCAGAGGTTTTTTAATGTAATATACTTTCTTGTTTATATTTTAGCATCTTTAAATAGCATCATATAACTATAAATGTAACAGAATTCATTCATAATTATTAAAATTCTCCTTTTATTCCCTACTATTGTATTAGATCATAGGAAATTCTGTACTGTCCATTTCACTGGTTACTTGAGGAGCTGGCCTCCAAATATTGTTGGAACAGATGATGAACGGGACGTTAAGAAAGACTGTGGTAATTTTACTTGCTTTGTTGCCGTTGGACAATTACACCCATATATTGTTCCACCATACAAGGGAGAGATTAAAGTCAAGCCAGCTGAATTTAATACCTGGTTTGCAGTGAATGGACAATTTATCTACATAGATCAAAGGTAAATATTTACATGTCATAATGATGAAAGTTCAATGGAACATCTAAGGCTGTTTAAAAATGTGCCTTAGAAGCACCAGTGATTTTTTTTTAAAGGCAGAAAATAAAAGTTTAAATGTAATTAAGATATGAGTAAATTTGTTCTAGCAAAAATGTATGTTTGCCGTATGTTTTATCTTGTAGTGCAGAAACTGAGTGCACACTGTGGTCACTTTAGTATTGTAAATGGTGGGAAGAGAGTGCCCTGTATTGCATATTGGTCTCATGTCTGGATTTTCATGCAGCCGCACTCTGGATGTAGGGCAGCCAGAGGGAGCCATGGGAACCCAAGTGAGACACTAATTTTACCAATCCCTGGACTCTTTCCCTCAGACCTGGTCACCTGTTCAAAAACCCAACCTCACTGTCATCAAGTTGATTCCAGTTCCAAGCAACGCTTTGACTCCCTATGTGCCTATGCTCATGTACTCGCCAATTATGATATTTATTTTCAATTTTAAAACCAGGGTGACAGCAATTTTAGGCTATCTGCCTCAGGAACTTCTGGGAACTTCTTGTTATCAATAGTTTCATCAAGATGACTATAGTACTTTGAATGACAAGCATAAAGCAGATAATCATGGAATGGGGTCTTTTTTTCCTTGGAAACTTTTCGTTACTGCTTCATCTCTTAATTTCTAATTCCAGAAAAAGCCAAAGTTTAACTCAGTCAACAAGGGATTGATTTTTATAGTGGCAAAGTAGATTCTTATGTAAATTCTTTTCTTTTCTTGTTCAGTGCTACAGAGTAAAGAGAAAATACTTACAGATTCCTACAAATTCAGAGCCAAAGATGGTTCTTTTGTAACTTTAAAAAGCCAGTGGTTTAGTTTCATAAATCCTTGGACCAAAGAACTGGAATATATTGTGTCTGTCAACACTTTAGTTTTTAAGTAATTCTTCTTAGTTGTTAAGATTTTTGTGTTAATTTCAAATGGGTAATCTCTTACCATTTCTCATGTTGTTAAACCGTAACATTTTGATCGTCTAGCCTTATATAACTTGAGATAAATATTTTTAGTAACTGCTTTATTCAGATTCACTAGCAATAGTTGTCAGATAGTCTCTGAATTTATGTGTGATAATACACCTGGGACATTGACAATCTGGCAAACTCACATGAGCCGTGGTTTCCAGATTCTTCCTTGGGGCCCCATGGGGACCTGCCTGTCTAGAGAACCTCAGTTCTAATCCTCTAGATTAGGCTGAGACCACGCATGGCTCACTATCCCAACCATAAATCACATGTTGGACTTTCTGGTACAGTTGGTCCACTCTCTAAACAAAGACATTTCTAAAACATGATATCCCAAGGGTTTACAGATAACTTTCCAAAAGCTGAGAGCAAAAGCCAGATCTTTCTTTGAACAAAGTTAAAGTCTTTCCTACAGACTATGAAATGTAAGTGGTAAGTGACTGACAAATCAAATAAACAGCATAATATAGTTGCTCCACCTTTAAAAAACCCATATACACTGTTTCTTAATTCTAGAGGGCACAGTGAAACTAGAGAAGTACCACTACTTCCTTGGAGTTCTCAATCATCAGAAGGTGAGCTTAGTTTTAAATTATAGAAGATTTATTACTAATGTGTAGTATTATGGGAGAATTATTATTAAATCATTTTTGTTGTTGTCTTGACATGGAAAAGAATTTAAAATTGGAATCCTAATTTCAGTAAGTAGTAACAGCCTAAGTCGAGAAGGAAACCAGTATCGCAGACAGAATTTCCAGGGATTCCCTGCCATTTCTTCCCCAGCGATTGCATAGCCTCTTGCTCACACTTGTTAAACTATTATGCTGGCTCTCCACTAGCTGAGATCTTCAAGAGCAGGAATGATATTTTATTCATTATCTAGTTCCACAGAATAGCTCTTTATAATGCTGTTTCTGCTGTGAAATACCACAGAGGCGAATATTACCCTGTGAAGAACAGACCTGAACCCAGCCGGTCCTATCCTGTGCCATCCTCATAATTTCTGACACACTTGAAACCATTGTTGAAGTCATCCATCCCATTGGAAGGGTCTTTCTCTCCCCAATCATCTATCTTTCCAAGAATGATGTCACTTTTCAAGGATTAGTCTCTCTTAGCAACATGTCCAAAGTATAAGCCATCCTTGTCTCTAAGGATCACTCTGGCTGCACTGTTTCCAAGACATATCTGTTCTTTTGGCCATCTGTGGAATATTCAATACTCTTCTACAGCACTGCAGCTCAAGGCATCACTTCATCTGTCATTGTCCAGCTCTCAGATGTGTAGCACGTGGTTGAAGAGACCATGGCCTGAATCAGGCACAACTTAGTTTTCAAACTGACATCATTTCTCTTCAGTACTTTTTTATTATACTAGTTTATTTACAAAATTCAAATACATTGTTTTCCAGAACAGATTCTTCCAATTTCCCTTCCACCCGTTAAATTGTACAACTCCATGATTAACTCCCCTCCCCCTGCACATCCTCATCCCTCTGCTTTCACCCTCCCCCCTCCTCATACTCATTCTACAATAATGGTTTTATACAATATCTGTCCTTGTGGGACTGAGTTACTTCACTCAGCACAAAGCTTTCCCATCCCTTCCAAGTTAGGCAATAATTCACAAAATCATTGCTCCTGAGTGCTGCATAGTTTCCCATTGTGTGAATTTACCATAATTTCTCAGTCCATTTGTTTGTGGTTTGACATCTGGGCTGTTTCCATGTTCTTGTAATGGTGAATAATGCTGCTGTCAACTCAAAGGTAGACAGTTCAAATCCAGCAGCTGCTCTGTGGGAGAGAGATTGACAGTCTCCTCTTTTGTGAAAAATCCAGTGTGGAGGGTCAGCTGTGAGTCAATTTCTACTCAAGGACATATAACAACAGCTATAATACTGAGGCACTCAATAAATTCTATTGGGCAAGTTAGTGAAAAACATTACAGAGGACTTTTTGTTTTGTCTGTGTTTATTTTTCCACAACAAACCAAAACAAAACAAACCCAAACCCACTACCATTGAGTTGATTATGACTCTTAAAGATCCTCCTCTAGGTTTCTGATGCTGTAGATCATCTGGGGAGAGAATGTCTGTCTTTTTCCTGTGGAGTGGCTGGAGGATTTGATTTGTCAACCTTTTGGTTAGCAGTTCAATGTGTTTCACACTATGTCACCAATGCTCCTTAATTTTTTAACCACAGAAATGTATTAATATATAACTTGTTTAAGTAAAAATAAAAGTGCTAGGAAGTGATATTTCTCTGGCATTAAAATGGAGAATAAAGGGGAAAAGAATGTCTGTACTTCTCCTCTAATGACTTCCTCTCCATTTGATTCATGTCATGTCTTAGAACCACATGAGTTGTGTTTGTAACATAGGAATGAATGTGTTCTGACATTTTAGGGTGTAATTAATCAATTTTTAAAGGTGTAAATATATTTTAATTGGAAACCACTGAATAAAATTATATGGTTTCTAAATATTCTCAGATGGCATTTTCTCTTCCTGTTATTTAGAACCCTCAAGACAATCTTGTTGTCATGTGCTTAGAATATCTTCTGAGACAGTACTTAGTCTGGGTAGTATTGGAACAGATACTGCAGATGGAATTCTGGATTTGCAAAGGTAATTACAATGTTTTATTGCTGCAAATATTTTCACAAGTAGTCTTTATTATGCTCACAAAATCAGTATGCAAAAGTCAGACGTCTTCCTATATATAAAACTAATCAGTTCAGGGGGGAGGGTTAGGAGGGGAAAAATGTGCAACAATGAAAGAATGGAAATCCAAAGTCTCTGTAAATTTTTACTGAAATTAATAATAAATTTAAATTTAAAAAACCCTAATCAGTTCATAAATATAATGGAAGAGAAGATCCAATTTGGAGTAACACCAAAAAAGATAAAATAGTTGTAAATTTCACAAAGACTGTATAGACCTATATTTGAAAAAAAAAGCGCAAAACCTTCCACTCAAAAAAGAAAAAATTAAAAATCCCAACAATAAACTTTTAAATGCTACAGTATTATAATGATAACTTTTCAAATATCATTTGGGTTTCAATGGGGAGACTCAATATATTATTCTCAGTTTTCACTAAATTAGTGTATACATTTAATGTAAATTCAGTAAAAATGCCACCTTGTATTTGTTTTAGGGAATCTAGTAAAATTATACTTTTTTATACTAGAATATTTGAGAAGTTTCTAAAAAACAAAAGTTCTGAGGTGAGACTAACCTTGTCAGATATAACAATATGCCATAAAGCTATGGTGGCTCTGGTGACTTAGTGGTAATGTGTTGTGCTGCCAACCCAAAGGCATGTGGTTTGAATCCACCAATTGCTCCACAGAATGGGCAATTTTTTTCACATGTGATTTACTTCTTTGGAAGACCACCCACAATGTCAGTTGTGAGTTGATGGCAACTCAAGAAAACATAGCAATATAAAGCTACAGTAACTAAAACATTTCCTTACAGTCCACAAATAGAAAAGCAAGTTGAATTTCTTAACCTCTGACTTAAGGACTGCAAGATCTAATCCTACATCTCCTGCATGCAAAACAGACACTTTAAGCTAAGCCCTCCTAGATTGGTAGACTTTTATTCTACGAACTTTTAGTTAACAGCTAAATACCATAAACAACTGGCTTCAATCTACTTCTCTCGCCTTTGAAAAGGGGAGAAAAAAGGCGGGAGAAGCCCCAGCAGAATTGAAGCTGCTTCTTCGAATTTGCAATTCGACATGATTACACCCCAGAGCTTGGTAAAAGAGACTTCTGTCTCGTCTTTAGATTTGCAGGCTAATGCTTCACTCAGCCATTTTACCTATGTTCATTAACCGTTGACTTTTCTCAACTAACCATAAGGATATTGGTACATTATACTTAATTTTCGGAGCATGAGCAGGAATAGTAGGAACTGCCCTAAGTATTCTTATCCGAGCTGAACTTAGCCAACCAGGAGCTCTAATAGGTGATGACCAAATTTATAATGTTATTGTAACAGCCCACGCCTTTGTTATAATCTTTTTCATAGTTATACCCATTATAATTGGCAGATTCGGAAACTGATTAGTCCCCCTTATAATTGGAGCCCCCGATATAGCCTTTCCACGAATAAACAATATAAGCTTTTTACTCCTTCCCCCTTCATTCCTGCTACTTCTAGCATCATCCATAGTAGAAGCAGGTGCAGGAACAGGCTGAACAGTTTATCCTCCACTAGCTGGAAACCTAGCTCACACCGGAGCTTCAGTAGATATGACAATCTTCTCATTACACTTAGCAGAAATCTCTTCTATCTTAGGAGCTATTAACTTTATTACTACAATCATTAACATAAAACCCCCGGCTATAACACAATTTCAAACACCATTATTTGTCTGATCTGTTCTAATTACAGCTATTCTTCTTCTACTTTCTTTACCAGTTCTAGCTGCTGGCATCACTATACTATTAACAGATCGAAACTTAAACACCACTTTCTTTGACCCAGCAGGAGGAGGTGACCCAATCCTTTACCAACATTTATTTTGATTCTTCGGCCACCCTGAAGTGTATATTCTTATTCTTCCCGGATTTGGAATAATCTCTCATATTGTCTCCTACTATTCAGGAAAACAAGAACCATTTGGATATATAGGAATAGTCTGAGCAATAATGTCAATTGGTTTTCTAGGCTTTATCGTATGAGCCCACCATATATTTACAGTAGGTATAGACGTAGACACCCAAGCATACTTTACCTCAGCTACTATAATTATTGCTATCCCAACAGGAGTAAAAGTATTTAGCTGACTAGCTACTCTTCACGGAGGTAACATTAAATGATCCCCTGCTATGCTATGAGCGCTAGGCTTTATTTTCCTATTCACAGTAGGAGGGTTAACAGGAATTGTCTTAGCCAATTCTTCCCTTGATATTGTCCTTCATGACACCTACTACGTAGTAGCCCACTTCTACTATGTCCTCTCTATAGGAGCAGTATTTGCCATTATAGGTGGCCTTGTCCATTGATTTCCTCTATTCACCGATTATACACTCAATTCCACCTGAGCTAAAGCTCAATTCGCTATAATATTTGTAGGCGTTAACCTCACATTCTTCCCACAACATTTCCTAGGACTATCAGGTATACCACGACGCTATCCTGATTACCCAGATGCCTACACACTATGAAATACAATTTCATCAACCGGCTCCCTCATCTCTATACTTGCCGTTATTCTTATAGTTTACATTGTATGAGAAGCATTCGCCTCAAAACGTGAAGTAGACATAGCACAACTGACCCCGGCTAATACTGAATGAATTAACGGTTGTCCTCCCCCATATCACACATTCGAAGAACCTACATTTACTAAAGCCTAACAAGAAAGGAAGGAATCGAACCTCCAATAATTGGTTTCAAGCCAACCACGCAGCCATTACGACTTTCTTTATCAGAGGTATTAGTATAATCAATACATGACTTTGTCAAAGTTAAGATCTAAACTAACCTTTATATACCTCTTATGGCATACCCTCTTGAACTAGGATTCCAAGACGCTTCATCTCCAATTATAGAAGAGCTAATACATTTCCACAATCACACCTTAATAATCGTCTTCCTAATTAGCTTTTTAGTCCTCTATGTAATCTCGGCTATATTGACCACTAAACTGACACATACAAGTACTATAGACGCTCAGGAAGTAGAAACTATTTGAACAATCTTACCAGCTGCAATTCTTATCTTTATTGCTCTTCCATCCCTGCGAATCCTGTATATAATAGACGAGATTAATAACCCTGCCATAACCATTAAAACTATGGGCCATCAATGATACTGAAGCTATGAATACACAGATTATACAGACCTAACCTTTGATTCGTACATAACCCCTACCAATGAATTAGCCCCCGGAGGATTACGCCTATTAGAAGTAGACAATCGATTAGTTCTACCAATAGACCTCCCAATCCGCATGCTAATCTCATCAGAAGATGTCCTACATTCATGAGCAATTCCTGCCCTAGGATTAAAAACTGACGCAATCCCAGGTCCACTAAACCAAGCAACCCTATCCTCCACATGGCCTGGCCTATTCTACGGACAATGCTCAGAAATTTGCGGCTCTAACCATAGTTTTATACCTATTGCACTAGAAATTGTGCCCCTAAAACACTTTGATAACTGATCTGCCACTCTATAAATCATTAAGAAGCTAAAAAGCATTAACCTTTTAAGTTAAAGATGGGGATTTTAACCATCCCCCTTAATGATAATGCCTCAACTAGATACATCTTCTTGATCCATTACCATTTTATCTATATTTATTACCCTATTTATTTTGTTCCAAGTAAGCTTAACAAAATTTATTTACCCCTATGACCCCACCCCTAAAATCTCTAAAACCTCTATTCTCCCTAATTCATGAGAAACAAAATGAATGAAAATCTATTTACCTCATTCATTACTCCTACAATAGCAGGCATTCCCATTGTAGTACTCATCATTGCTTTCCCAAATATCCTATTTCCTAATCTTGGCCATCTTATCAACAACCACTGGACAACTATGAATAGTAAACCTGATTTTAAAACAAATAATGATAATACATAATATCAAAGGCCGAACATGATCACTCATACTAATATCACTGATTATATTCATTAGCTCAACAAATCTCCTAGGCTTATTACCCCACTCATTTACTTCCACCACTCAATTATCAATAAACCTAGGAATAGCTATTCCACTATGAGCAGGCGCTGTAATTATAGGATTCCGACATAAAGCCAAAGCTTCCTTAGCCCATTTCCTCCCACAAGGAACCCCTATTCCATTAATCCCAATACTTATTATCATTGAAACTATTGTTGTTGTTGTTGTTGTTGTTATGTGCCATCAAGTCGCCTACGACTCATAGCGACCTTATGTACAACAGCCCTAAACTCTGCTCTGTCCTGTGCCAATCGCACCGTCTCTGACACTCCCATCCCAATTATCCCAGTCACTGAATCAATCCACTTCAT